CTCTCCATCTCTCTCTCTTTCTCTCTCTCGCTCTCTCTCTACGCCACATCACCTCCGATGCGGACAGTTCGTCGCCTCGCACCAACACCGAGTCGTCACCCCGCTTAGTCCAAGCACGCAAGCCAAGTTCGCCCGTGCGCCACAGTCCGTCGTGGCCCGCACATCAACCCCGCTTACCCGACACCAGCTCGTCGGATCGCCCGACTCACTTCTGCTCACCTTGCAACTTACTCGTTAGTCGATCCTCACTGACTGAGCTAACTTCCAAATTCCCAGGCAGACAACTAATCGCGCTTGCGAAATTTATATCATACATACGTGCGCGAGAAACTCGGGATTATGCCTGAGTGAGAGGAAGGGGAAGAGAAGGAAGTGCCTACGCTTGCATGGCCAGGCCGCGACGTGGGGGACGGAACCACTCTCCACTCGTTGATCCAATCATGCAACGTGGGGACCAATCAAAGCAGAGAAAGGGATGTGCATACACAGGTGGGGGGGAGGCGGGAAGGAGAAAACACGAAGGACATTAAGAACAGGAAAATTATAGTTGCAACCGCGCCCGCCAAAAATTACAGTTACACGCAAGATTAAGGCGCACATCGAAGCCCTGATCTTGCCAGCGCACCGTGCGTGTGAGCAGGATGCGCCGTGCAGCCAGTCTGCCTGGTACCTAAATTCCAAGTCTAAATCCTAATTGCAAAAAGAAATTACGAAAGAAAAACAATTTCGAGATCCTACGGGGGCTCGACAACAATTCAAAAATTCAAAAATGATATCCCCGCGTGACAGTGGTGCCAAAATTCCCGGTGTCGACAGCAAAACAAGGAAGAAGCTATAGCAGCAGTTATTTATTGCGCTCACTAAGGTGCGGTCACCTAACTCTCTACGCGGGACCTTTTCCAGTACTGACCCAAAAATCCAATAAGAAAAACGAACAAGGAGCGAGGGCATCCATGCAACCCACCCTGCCGAACCATTCCTACGTATTTCATCTGACCAACCCGTCCGAGCCCGTGAAACAGCTTCGCGCTGAAAGTCGCGCGATTACAAAAACTAGTTTGTCACGTATGTGACGCCCAGGGGGTTCCAATCTTGAGCAACCTCCTGCTTGCTCTCTCAATAGGCGTCGATCCGTGATCCGAGGATCGACGTGGAGCTTGCACGTGCCACTTACCGTAAGATTCGAGTGTGGAAATCATCCAACGTGGCATTTGTGCGCTCAATCCTAAATGTTACCCGGGAAAGGCAATCTAATGACCGGCGGAGGTGGTGGTGGATGGACTTGTGGAAGGGGAGGCATGAAACGGCGGATTTCTCTGTCTCTAGTGGGGAGCAGGACATAGTAGACCGTGCGATGGATACGAAGGAAGCGCGGGTGTCGACGTTGGTGAGGGAGGGAGGCGAGGTAGTCGAGGTAGAGAGTGCAGAGGGTGTGGCGGATGGCAGCGCAAAAATCGTCATAGTCTTCGCACGTGGGGATTGTGCCCGCGATCATGCAATAGAGCTCTATATTATTAAATTCCTACCAATTTACACTAGAGAGAAGGACGTGGAGGGGGAAAGAGGTGACGAGCGAGCGAGTTGTAGCATGTGGGAAAATAGTGACCACGAGGCGGGTGGAGTAGAGATGGTGGAAGAGGGAAGGCGGGAAGGGGTGCCATCTGTCAAGGAATGGGGGTTGGCCTATGAGCTGCTGAAGGGTGAGGAAGTCACGGGGACGACGGGATAACGACCGGGGATGAAGCCCGAGCGCCCGCATCTTGACGTAGGCGAAGGTTGGGCCGTGGAGAGGATTGAGCCGGCGATTCACTTCCTCGGAGGCGTCGACTTCCTGATCCCTCTGCAGTGGCGCCTCCATTTCTCTCGATCTCTTCCTGTGGCGTCTCCGGATAAAGCGCCAGATCGCCCGCAGCAGTTGCGGCGGCGGCCCCTCTGATTCCTCGATCGGTCGCTTGCACTCCGCTGCTGCCTGTCTTCTTTCTGCTACAGCCTCTTTCTCTTTCCTGCTCAGCTCGGCAGGACCACTCGATTCACCCGATCCGCCCTTTCCCTCCTCAGACTCCTCCCGTCCCGAGTTGGCCTCTTCCTACTCGACGTCCTCCGATTCGTGATAATCGGGATTGTCCGACCCAGCCTCCGATTCTTCCTCCTCAAGCGTTTCCTCTCCTTCCGTATACTGAAGATGATCGTCCTCCTGGATCTCTTCCTCGGCTGCTTCTTCTTTTTCTTCTTCGGCTTCCTCTCTAGTCTCTCCTACGTTCACTCGTCGGACGAGAGGGTCCCAGAAGGAAAGGCCAGTGTCGTTGATGACCAGGTAAGCGCCCCTAGAGGGATAGTAGCAAATATCCCCGTCAAGCTCCGTGCAAATAGACCACAGGAGATGGGGGACCAGGGTACGAGCGAGCGTGGTCGTCCCCGACCTCTCGTCGCAGCGCGAGAGGATCTCCAAAGGCAGATTGTCTCCTTCTTTCTCTTCTTCGGCTTCCTCGCTGGTCTCTCCTACTTTTCACTCGCCAGATGAGAGGGTCCCGGAAGGAAAGGTCAGTGACGTCGATGAACAGGTAAGCGCCCCCTAAGGGATAGTAGCAATTATCCCCGTCAAGCTCTGTGCACGTAGACCACAGGAGATGGGGGACCAAGGTACGAGCGAGTGTGGATGTCCCCGACCTCTCGTCTCAGCGCGAGAATCTCCAAAGGCAGATTGTCCAGTAGTTGGGCCAAAAACACCAGCAACTCTCCGTAATCGAATCCAGGTGGTCGGCGCGCGCTTCCCCGAACAGGATCCCGAGAAGCTCTCCCTCCGTGTCCGTTCTCCAGGCCTGGATGATCAATAACTCCACCTCATCGTCCGGGATCTCGTCCTCCTCGCTCTTGTCAGCAGGCTCCGCCCAATGGAAGACGACTTCGAGGAGGCACAAGCTGAGTGCTACGTAAGCGTGCCACCACTGTGCCCACTTGGCCGCGTCCAGAATCGGCACGTCCAACTGCTTGATTCTGAAGGATAGAGCGGCGTCTACGGAAGACTGCCAAAACGTAGGAGTATCGGATGGGAGGCCGAAGGTGGAGAGGCGGTAACGGTTCATTGAGGCCGGGCGAAAGGACGAAGCTCCGGGAGGGGGACCTCTGGCGCGGTGGAGGAGACCCGACAGCTGGAGATCGACGTCGTTGGCTGTCACGATGCGATGGCGTGGCCGAGCTAGTAATTGCACCCACGTAGTCGTGATGCCCATTGTCCAGCCCTGCAGCTGCCGGAAGATCTCGGTATGCCTCACCGAATGCAGTGTCGTGATGTCGCCTACGAAGACGACAATGACAGACATGTGGCTCTCGCCAGGTGGAGACAGGCATAGGAAGGCCAACACCTCGGCCAATACACATGCCGCCTCGGACTGCGTGAATCGAAACTCAGCCACTGCGTGGATGGCCGCTGTACTAAAGAAGGTCACGAATCGAAGAAGATCTGGACTCAGTCGAGGACGCTGTACTTGCCGTATTGCTGATATGGCTCCCCCGAGCACCATTAGCCGCTCACTGATGACTTGTTCGATGAAAAAACTCATGGCGATGGCGAGGGAGACGAGGGCTGAGAAGAAGAGGGATGAAGGTAGTCGAGATGGTTGTCTTCCTTCTCGCGGTCGAGGGACGACGTGGATGATGGAAGAGAAGGGGAAGATGGGAGAGGACGAAGGTAGGACATATGTGGAACGATCAAGCGAGTAGATCGACTTCCCGACACCTCTGGTGCGAGCCGCACCGTGTTCACTCCACTAGGACCGAGCTCGTCTACGGGAAATCAGCGTAAGAACCGTGGCGCTAGCTTGCCCTGGCGAGCACATTTCCTCACCTGCACTATGTCCCCTAATTTATACTGCGGCCGAGGTCCAGCATTCCCATTTCGGTCCTCGTAACGCCAGATCTGCCGCTCGTGGGCCATTTCAGTCATTCTTTGTCTTTTTCGGGCTAGCCGGGGGAGGGCCTTTTACATTAATTCCAGGTCACCGTGGCGTTGGGCCTTATCTTTGACCGTCGCTCTAGTGACCCGTCGCAGAAGGGTCGTTTCATAATTTAGGCTCCGTAGGGCCACACAGGCCACACTATTGGTCTGTAATTGGAAGGGGGTCAGACCGGTAGACTTGTGGGGTATCCCTCGATGAATAGCTAGGATGTGGTCGACGATATCGGGCCAGGGCCTTGTATCTTTTACCGCGATATTACGCCGTAATGTTCTCTTAATTACTCGGTTGGCATTTTCTACCAGTCCGTTCGATTGTGACATGATATGGGGAGCAGTATTGCTGACTGAGACACCGTGTAGGACCAGACTTCTCAAAACTTCCCCTCGAAATTCTGGTCCGTTGTCTGTTAAGATCTCCTCTGATGCATCCCGAGAAAACGGTTGACATACCGCACAATTTCCGTCGCTTGTCGCATCTTACAAGGATACGCCTCAATCCATTTTGAAACGTGATCCACAAACACCAAAAGAAGTGAATATTCACAACTACGGGGGCCCAATAATATCTGTGGTATCCATGCTGACCCTTTGAAACGGATGTTCAACTACGGTGGGCACTATCGATCTAGACGGCTGAACCGGCGTCTTGTCGGCGACACAGATGGGACAATTTCGGACGATGAATTTAACATCGTCGTGAATATTGGACCAATACCATTCGTTTTTATCGATCGCCGCGTCCGTGATCCGAACGGCGAAGTGAGCCGCAGTTTCCTTGTGGGCCGACTTAACCCAGTCATACCTTATGAACGGATGAGGCACGGACATCCAAATCCCACTACCATCCGTCTTTCGCTTTTCTAGCCGTCCCCCATTCCATCGGTAGTCCCGTGCCCTCTCATTGGCCCTCGTCCAGTCCTCCTTAGTGAAGTCTCGGAGGGAGTTCCCAACCACTGTAAAGACGACATCTGTCCATACCTTGGCCCTTCTAAATTGTCGAGTCATTTCCAACCCTTCCGACGTGGCTTCGAGAAATCGAGCTTCCGGCGGAATTTTATCAGTGCGGCACAAGGGGCATAACGAGGATTTACCCATATTTCTATATTGGATGCAGGAACCGTGAGCTCGGGAGACACACCGCTGGCAGGCTACCCACTCGACATACCCTTCCCCGCTAGGATGCATAGAGACCGAGTAGACTCTCCAGATTGCTTCGCAAAAATAGCAAAATTTGTTGGGTAGGGAGAGAGAAGAGGAAGACAAGAGGGGAGAAAGAGGGCCTTCGGGATTACCTCCATGCCCCATCGCCATTGTGTCTGCCGATCACTTCCTAAAGGTTCGAGGGAGGATGGCCAGTTGTCCGTACGAGGGCTCGCCGGTTGGTTTTGGTTCCTTCCACGGTGTGATTTCTTTGCCCTTGGCTTCCTTGCTAGGCTGGTGCAATCGTGACAATCCGTCAGCGTTACTATGCTTCTCCGTCTTCCGGTGGATGATATCGAAGTCGTATTCTTGCAGTCGTACAGCCCAACGTCCAATCATGCCCGTGTAGTTGGTAAGCTTCTTAAGAGCCAGCAAGGGTTCATGGTCTGTGACAAGGAGGAACTTCTGTTCGTACAAGTATGGATGGAAGTGTTGAATCCCCCAGACAACCGCGTAGCACTCTCCCTGAGGAGCCGAATCGTTTCTTCTCTCGTCCAGTACCGTTCGCGAAGCGTACTCGATGACATGTCTGTGGCCATCTTTCCCCTTCTGAGCCAAAATAACGAAGATTGCTTCGAACTGCCACTCCGTAATGAGTATGAATTGTTTCCCCGGATGAGACCGAATCAAAATAGGCGTTGTGGCCAAAGCCTCCTTTTATGGTGACAAAGGTCTGTTCACACTCAGCGTCCCAACTCAGTGGCTGGTCCTTCCGTAGAAGATTCGTTAGAGGCCGTGCAATTGCTACGAATCCCTTGATAAATCAGCGGTGTACGAGGCCAGCCCTAAAAAGGCCCAGACCTGCGTCAACGACATAGGTGCGAGGGCGTCTCGAACGGCCGCGACCTTTCTCGAATCCGGTCGTAAGCCTCCTCGGTTTACCACGTATCCCAGGAATGAGATTTCCGAAAGGAAAAACTCACTTTTCTTGAATGCAATCTTGAAGTCAGCATCCTGCACCTGCAACGCCCCAAGTGTCCACTTGATATGCTACGCACGCCCGTGGAATGATTCCGAGTAGACCAGAATGTCGTCAATCTATACAATGACGCCGAAATTAATCATGCCTTGAGTCAGCCTGGTCTTATTGACGAAATTCTGAAACGTGATGTTCATCACTCTCGGAAAAGTAGCTGGTGCATTGCAAATTCCCATTGGGCAGTGGACCCACTGCCAGGTGCCCTCGAATAACACCAAGGCCGTCTTCGGCCGATCCTCTTCCTTAACCAAAATGTGATGGAATCCATGGCGAATATCAAAATCCCAAAAATAATTAGCACATCCAATCGCATCCAGCAGATCATCAATCCGGGGAAGGGGGTACACATTTTTTATCGTGATATCATTTAGCTTCTGGTAACCAATGCAAATGCGAATTGAGCCATTTTTCTTCGGGACTAAGACCACGGAAAACGACCAAGGTTCGGTCGCTGGTTCGATCCATCCGTTAGCCTCAAATTCTTTGATTCTTTGCAATGTTACTTTTCGTTCCGCGAGAGAATCATGATACCGGTACGATTTGCAGTGGATCGGCAGGTGCGTTCC